TCTCATCTCATCAGGGAGTACATGATATCAAAGTGATTTATTACTAGAGATGTGAACCTTGATCACCTGGTTAAGGTGGTGTCTGCCAGGTTTCTTCATTATAAAGTTACTGTGTTCCCTTTTCATATTCTATTTATTAGAAGTGAGTTAGTAGGTCCAGCCCACACTCAGAGAGAGGGGAATTATGATCCACTTCCTGGAGAGAGGAGTACCAGAGTTTATGGACATATAGTAAAGCTACCGAAGTAATAAATATATTGGAGAAGGTAGGTTGAGGCTGTGCAAATATCCAGTTTCTCCTTAAAATTTGGCCTACTAATTCTAGCATCCATCAGTGGATCTTGCCTGCAGCAGTGATTACTGTGGTGTTCTAATGGTGATTTTCTAATTTCCTCATTTCTTCCATGTTCAACTGGAACCCTTTGTAAGGAATTTTAATTGTCCCTTCTCTGCCTTTTGGGACACTTTCAGTTTGGCACCTGTGTCCTCCTGACAGGCGCCCCTTATTTTTTTTAGTCCTAGTTCTCTAGCCAGAGCATTACATGTTACTTCAGACAATCTCCAAGGAGCCCTGATTGCTTTTAGCAGGGAATGGTATTTAGAAACCAAGATGTGGCCCTGGTTGTGCTTGCTGCTATGGGGATGTCACAGCTTCTGGGCACTCAGAGAAGAAGGATGTAGGAAATATATGTATATATACAAATCCCAGGTACACACAGATTTCTATCTCCATTCTGTAAGCATGAGATCATACTTTTTTTTTTAATTTTTTATTTCTTTTCAGCGTAACAGTATTCATTGTTTTTTGCACCACACCCAGTGCTCCGTGCAATCCGTGCCCTCTCTAATACCCACCACCTGGTTCACCCAACCTCCCACCCCCTGCCCCTTCAAAACCCTCAGATTGTTTTTCAGAGTCCATAGTCTCTCATGGTTCACCTCCCCTTCCAATTTCCCCCAACTCCCTTCTCCTCTCCATCTCCCCATGTCCTCCATGTTGTTTGTTATGCTCCACAAATAAGTGAAACCATATGATAATTGACTCAAGCATGAGATCATACTTTTATCCCTGACTCTCGCCCAGGACTGGCTTCATTCTGGCCTTCCCATCCTTCCTATTCCCTATCCCACTTTGCTTCTTTCTAATGTCCTTCTCTGTCAGGAGAACCCTTATCTCCTTATCTATAAATATGTATGCCTATGAGAAACACACTTACCAACAGAGTACAGTGTTTGTCTACAGTTCTTTTTGTCTTTAGCCTTACACTACCTAGACAAAACACTGGTTTTCAAAGTTAAAATTATTTAGGTCAGCTTCTTTCTTCCCTACCCCCTTCAGTAAGATTATGTCTCACTCTGTAATACAATTAGATTCGTGGTCCACAACCTGTATTCTATCATGCATTCCTCAGACATCCTGGCTTTTAAAAAATTTGCACATAGTAAAGTTACTCTCTGCAGTGGACAGTTCTGTGGGTTTTGACAAATGTGCAGGGTCCTGTATCCACCACAAGATCCATACAGAACAATCCTTCTACCCTAAAATTCCCCTTGTGTCCCTTGGTAGTTAGCCAATCACTCCAGCCCAAGCCCTGGCCATCTGTTTTTTGTCCCTATAGTTTTGCCTTTTCCAGAATGTCACATAAATGGAATCAAATAATATGTAGCCTTTGAGTCTGGCTTCTTTCCCTTAGCAAAATGCATTTAAGATTAATCCACATTGGGGGCATCTGGGTGGTTCAGTGGGTTAAAGCCTCTGCCTTTGGCTCAGGTCATGATCCCAGGGTCCTGGGCTCGAGCCCTGCATCGGGCTCTCTGCTCAGCAGGGAACCTTCTTCCTCCTCTCTCTCTCTCTCTCTCTGCCTGCCTCTCTGCCTACTTGTGATCTCTGTCTGTCAAATAAATAAATAAAATATTTATAAAAAAAAGATTAATCCACATTGTTATATGAATCAACAGGCAGATTTTAAGGAGACTATACATCTGCTTTAATAATGGTGGTATAGATGATTCATATTTGAACCATATCTTTATGGTTCAAATATGATATCTTTAGGTTTAAGATATCTTTAGGTTTAATTAAATTATAGCTTCCCATTATGCAGATGTGCATAGTTACATACCATAAGGTAACCAAACGGTATTACTAAACTGGGGGCACATGGGTGGCTTGCTCAATTAAGCATCCAATTCCTGATCTCAGCTCAGGTCTTGATCTCAGGGCCATGAGTTCAAGCCCCATTAAAAAAAAAAAAAAAAGAATAGCAGCCTTTAAAAACCATAATCAACACAAGATACAATGATGACATAGTAATAATAGAATCCTCTTGAAAGTGATAGGTGTTAAAATATCTGCTTGAGACTATGTGAAGTAGGTGCTCTGTATTGATGCCAAGCATTGAACATGGGCCACCATCCTAGAATGTGGAATTAAGAATCCTTAGAGGGGCGCCTGGGTGGCTCAGACGTTAAGTGTCTGCCTTTGGCTCAGGGCGATCCCGGGGTCCTGGGATCGAACCCCGCATTGGGCTCCCTGCTTGGCGGGAAGCTTGCTTCTCCCTCTTCCACTCCCCCTACTTGTGTTCCCTCTCTCGTTGTGTGTGTGTGTGTGTGTGTGTGTGTGTGTGTGTGTGTCTGTCAAATAAATAAATCTAAAAAGAATCCTTAGAAAACCCTAATAGTCTTCATGAATACCTATATTTAATAATCCTGCAATTATTAAAGTAATGCATTGTTCAGTTGCTCCATAACTCAATTAAGTTACTCAAGTAAGTTGCTCTAAGTCTTAGGCAAAAATAAAATCTGTTGTTATTCATCAGAACTAAAGAAAGAACTTACAGTTTTAGATTAATTTATAGCCCATCAAAGGACCTTCTTAGTCCTTTGCAGAAGAGAGATGGTTAGATTATATTTCCTGATTCCATATGTAACCAGTGCTTTTGTAATACTTTTAATTTCTGCATTAGAATATTAAACAGTACTGGACTTTCTCAGCCTACAGTGGGCACATAACTCTTTTGGTTAATAGTGAATAAATGTGTTTATGACTATAGGGTCCCTCCTGGGGAACCCTCTGTAAAGCCTCAGTGAATATGTCAAATAATCTGTTATGGTAAGGGGCATTCAGGGTGTGGTACGGACCAAACAAGGTGCTCATTGTAGCAGCATCAGTTACAAATGAGAATCCTTAAAGAGTAGTCATTTGGATCTATACTTTTAGAAACCTCAGTTGCTACAGACCTCAATTGTATTCCCACTAGGAATACAAGGCAATGGTGTAGACTCTCTTACCCACAAATCATCTCTAGAGTCTAAACAAAACCAAGAAAGATGTGAGAAAAATGTGCCTTGTCTACCTTTTTAAAATATTTTTTTTAAATCAGAGAGAGAGAATGCCACAAGTAGGGGGAGTGGCAGGCAGAGAGAGAAACAGGCAAAGGGAAAAGCAGGATCCCAACTGAGCAAGGAGCCCAATGTGGTACTTGATCCCAAGACCTTAGGATCCATGACCTGAGCCGAAGGCAGCTGCTTAACCGGCTGAGCCACCTAGGTGTACCTTGTCTATTTTTTTTTTTAATAGTTTGGTTTTTTGGTTTGTTTTTTTGTTGTTTTGTTTTTTGTTTGTTTGAGAGCGAACACGTACAGGCATGAGCAGGGAGGGGGCAAAGGCAGAGGGAGAGAATCTTAAATCTTAAGCAGGCTCCACACTCAGCTTGGAGCCCAACACAGGCCATGATCTCACTACTGCAAGATCGTGACCCGAGCCAAAACCAAGAGTGGGACACTTAACCAACCGAGCCACCAGGGACCCTGTATCTTATCTATCTAAAATGCATTACTAATGGACAGTTTTGCATCAGGTTAAGAATATAGCACGAATCCATTTTACAACCTTGTAACTATAGCCAGTAGTTTTAAACTAAGGAGAGGAAAGGGAAAGGAAAAGAAAAGGAAAGGAAGGGAAGGGGAGGGGAGGGGAAGGAAAAGAGAAGAAAAAATAAAAGAGGAAAAGAAAACAGAAAAGAAAAGAAAGGATCTACTCACCACTCTGGCTGTGTTCTCACAGAAATTTCATGGACTACATTCTCATCCAGATGCAGAATATGGATTCAGATAGCAATGTTATAGCAGACCTATGATTAAAGCTAGAATTTGAAAATGCAGTGACAGTTTAATCTAGGATATCAAGTGGCATGGCGGTCAATAAATACAAAATATGTTTTAGAGACACTGAGAATTGTGGCAAAGGGCGTTGTAAAGAATATACAAGGATAAGTACTAATAAAACAGCTGGAACTTTTTTTCCCCTGTCCCTTCCCCCAAATAGCTAGAACTTTAATATCTGACTTTTTAGTGTTTGAGATTTGTGTTTAGTCAAATTGAATAACTATTTGAGTAATGACTTTTTTTTCTTAATTGCAAGTTAGCTGAGCCCCTTATAGACAAGTTATTTGTTAACCTTCCCACAGGTAGTCATGACTCTTAATCTAAACATATCTGCTCACAGGGTTGATTGGATTGTTCAGCCCAAAGAAAGAAATGAACCCATCCATGGCAAGCTGATGCAGGGCCTAGAAACATCTTTAAAATGGAAGTTATAAAAAGATAATAAATTACTTGATTTTTTCTTTTTTTTTTAAGATTTTGTTTATTTATTTGACAGAGAGAGGTACAGTGAGAGAGGGAACACAAGCAAGGGGAGTAGGAGAGAGAAACAGGAGCCTGATGTGGGGCTCGATCCCAGGTCCCTGGTATCGTGACCTAAGCCGAAGGCAGACGTTTAACAACTGAGCCACCCAGGCACCCACTTGATGTTTTTCATAAAAACTTAATTTTGATAATGACCTGGTTACTAAGCCTTTCCATGTGTTATTTCATTATTTTATTTTCCCAAAGATTAAGAGGTTAGCACTCAAGAGACCTAGGAAAATAAGTAAACTTCTTTGATTTAGTTGTATTTTCAGTTAATTTTTCATTAAAAAATTATCCTTGTATTGTAGGCAATTTCTCGGCATACACGAGTGCTCCTCGGAATTGAAGAGCCATTGTTCAGTCGCACCATCACCCTGCCCTACAGGGACAATATCGGCTTATTTTTAGAGCGAAAAGGTCACACTGGGGTAAAATCTGATTCCTTGACCTTCTCTGAATTTGTGCAAGCAGAAGGATTACAGGATTATGCTCCAAAAATAACCACCCCCGAAGAGAAGGAAGCATAGCATGACACTGAACTGAAGGGGAAAGCTGTTTCACTTACCTTGGAAGATCAAACTGAACTACTTGGGGGGAAGAAGTGTGTTCTTTTGGGTTCTCTTCTCTTCTTCATTAAGGATTAGAGTTAGAACTTCTGGTTCCACTTCCAGTTCTATCACCACCTCTCAGCACTTTCTTTTCATTTGTGTTTCAAGTTAGCCCCATGTTTAAACAAAGGTAGCAATATTTCTCTTTCTGGGTAATTCTTGAGAAATTCTAGTAATGCATCTGGTCATAGGAACATGTTAGAGAAATGGAATTAAAAGTAAAATCTCCCGCCAACCCGAATAAGGTTCTCCGCAAATGCAGAAAAAGAAACAGTTGTATTATTGAATCAGCACTAAATCAGCAGTGTTGGGCATCACAGGCAAGTTGCTAAAGATTACGAAGTCAAGGAAATGACACCCTTTTAGGTAGCCAGGCAGATATAACACATTACTTACACAGTAACTGTCTGTATCCAAAGGAAGAATAAAATTTCTCATATCTTGATGACAAACCGGAAGTTACTATGTGGAGCCAGGCATGTGGGTCAGGGAGACAGGGTGCCATCCTCCCCAGTGCTCCCATTTCAAAGACATGGCTCCAAAGCCTCCCAAACACACAGTCTTGGGATATAAAACCGGCAGGTGACTTCTTCAACTTATTAGAAGATTTACATACATCTCAAAAACAGAGAAAGGATTTAAATTACATGTTTTCTAAAGAAAATGTTATAAGAAAAGGGGGGAGGGGAGTCTTTCCCTTTTTGCATTAGAGAAAAAAAAGTTTTTAGTATTTTTAAAATTTTATATTTATCCTTACACACAATGTGGCTTACAGAAGTACCACTGACTATGGAATAGGGACTGGGGTTTATTTTCAAGACTCTTCTATATGGTACCTTCCAGACCTTTATAAAATGAAATTCAGGGGGTGCCTGGCCGGCTCAGTTGGTAGAGAATGCAGTCTTGATCTTGGGTGTGTGAGTTTGAGCCCCACATTGGGAGTAGGGTTTACGAGGGAAGGGAGGGAAGAAGGTGGGGGAGGAGGAAGGAAAGGAAAGGGAAGGGAAGGCAAGGGAAAAGGAAGGGGAAGGGGAGGGGAAGGGAAAGGGAAGGAAAGGAAGGAAGAAAGAGTGAATGAATGAATTAATTCAGGCTAGAGTGTACCCATGACTGGACTGCTCAAAAGAAATGGCAAAATACTTCATGCTTGAATGACTCCAGTTCCTCTCTAGTTGTGTAGACTTAACTGCTCTTCCTCTTCCCAGCCTCACCGCTTAACTCTTAAGAGCCACTAAAGGACTACCATAATCCAGAAGGGCAATGATGTACTCTGTCCAGTTCCCTACACCTGAATGAATAGTCAAAAGAATCCCAATTCTTTTTTTTTTTTCCTAAGAAAAGGAGCAGTACCTCAAATTAGCATTCATACCAAGCGTTACTATCTGATGGTGAACCTAATTTTTCCCCAAATTGGACCAATGAAATTTTGTCTCAGACCATTCTATACCATACCATTGAGTTTGCCTGACTTACAGTTATGCAAAAAGGAAAAACGTAAATGATTAACCTAACACCATGGTGGTTTACATGTACAGGGAATGATTTTGTTCGAGAGCACTTCCGCATTTAGCAAACAGTGGTTCTGGTCAATGGCAAAACAGAGTCAGTGTCATCCTCCTTGCCCTCACGGTCACTTCACCTCTGTTGTCTTCTACGCTCTATCACTGACAAAATATTTGCAAAACATAAAGGCAATCACTTTGCACTGTAGGGATAAGATCTACATTTTGCAAAATTATTTTTAGCCACTTAATATAAATGCCAGCTGTTTATAAAAATGGTTATGTGGTTTAAAGTGGTTTAAATCGGTCAGTGAGGGGCAGCTAGGGTACCATCGGGAAGCATTCCTGTGTAAATTGCCTAAAGAGATCTCAGAGGAAAGGGTCCTGACTCCCAAGTGTCCAATAATTTGAGATGAGCTATTTTTTTTTTTTTGTCAAGCAGTACTTTCTTATCATCTATTTAAAAATAAAAATAAAATGGTTTAAATGAGAACAGTTTTCAATAAGATAGTTCCAGGGAAGTCATGTATAGCTGAAATAAGCATGAAATGAGTCATAATTTAATTAAGATCATTTACCACATTTTACTTCTTTATCCAAAATGGTAGGAAAATCAAGACGTATCATTTGTCAGCTACATACTCCTATAGGAAAACCAGCCACAGTATGTATTGTCTAATAATGACTTAATTTCTTGAATTTAGCTTTTAGAAGAAAAATAATTTGTATTCCTGGGGAAGCAACTTACTTAAGTGTGTCAGGTTATGGTTTCATTTGGTTGCTTCCAAAAGCCAGACATACCCAAATATACTGATATAAAAGACCTCATTTTATTCTATATGTTAAAGATTAATTAGTACCATTTTCTAATTCCTCAATGCCCAAATATGTGGCAAACACAATACACTCACATGACTCCCAGTGACAATTGCGATAATCAGGGTACAAGCAGTGTGGAGGGAAAAAAAATTCTGATTCCCGAGGTCTCTCCTCTCACTGAGAGGCAGAGCCCGTGGAAACCTCTAGCTGCTGTTCTTTGGTTAGGGAGATACCAAATGAATTACAGTATCGATAGGTAAGGTGGTCCTGGAGAGCAGGACTGGCTGAGAGATGCTGACTAAAGGGAGTTTCCTTGAGTTGCACCGCAGTCAGATCAAACCAGGGGAAAGGCCTGGAGTGAAAAAAAAAAATACTGTTACTTTCTTATGTCTGTTTAATACATCTGATTTGGCTGTTAAACATTTCCTTTAAAGTTTTCCAACATTTGGAAATAAGGTTCTTTATTTTCTACATCAAACTAATTAAAGTTCATAAACATTCAGCTACAGCTTTTCACTATGTGGATTTAATTGTACTTGTGACACATTTTGCATGTTTAAGTACATTTTTCTAAGTGCATTTGGGAGGAAATTCATAATTAAAGAATGATTATAACAATGACATTGATGTTCTTTTCAGTATTTGTCCCTTAAATTTAGAAATAGAATACATAAGGTGCACCTGGATGACTCAGTGGGTTAAGCATTGCATTCTTGATTTTGGCTCAACTCATGATCTCAGGGTCATGAAATCAAGCCCCATGTCAGGCACTGTGCTGGATGTGGAGCCTGCTTAAGATTCTCTCTCTCCCTTTCCCTCTCCCCTCTGCTTGTATGCACACACTCTCTAAAAAAAAAGAAAAGAAAAGAAAAAGAAAGACATAGATACATAAGAGTATCATGGGCATTAGGAATATAAAAGATCTGGAGGGCCTGAGTGGTGCAGTCAGTTAAGTGTCTGACTCTTGGTTTCTGCTCAGGTTTTGATCTCAGGGTCATGAGCTCGAGCACTACATAGGACTCCATGCCCAGTGCAGAGTCTGCTTAGGTTTCTTTCCCTCTCCCTTTGCCCCTCCCCCAGTGTTTGCACTCTCTCTCTCTCTCTCTCTCTCTCGATCTTTAAAATAAATCTTTTAAAAAATAGAACATATCTCGTTTCTTTCAAGAATGAGATAGGAATTTTATAGGAAAAGTAGTAGAAGTAAATATGCAAATGAGAACAGAGCAACTTTAAGTATAACTCAAGTTAAATCCAAGTTAAAAAGTATTAAGACATAGGGTTGTTACAGTGTTAAAAAGATTAAAAAAAAAAAAAAAGCAAGGATATCTGTTCTCACCCCCCTTATTTAACATATACTGGAAGTTGTAGACAATGGAATAAGGCAAGAAAAGGGAAAAACAGCATACAGATTGAAAAAAAAAAAAAGATCTGCTCTATTTATAGATGACATGATTATATGGAAAATCCCAAGGAATCTACAAAAAGAATTTCCCAGAACTAATAAATCAGTTCAGCAAAATCACAGGAAACAAACAATACAAAACCCAATTATATATATATGTATATATAATTGGGTTTTGTATTGTATATATATGCATATATATATATATATATATATAAACAATGAACACTTGGGCACTATAATTAAAATATAATTATATATATATATACATATATCTATATAATTAAAATAATTAAAATGCAGTTCCATTCACAGATACACAAAAGGAATAGTTGGATGTAAATCTAACAAAACACGTATAAGACTTGCATACTAGAGCACCTGGGTGGCACAGTTGGTTAAGTGGTGAATTCTTGGTTTTGACTCAGGTCATGATCTCAGGGTCATGAGATTGAGACTGGCATCTGGCTCTGTGCTCAGGACAGAGTCTGCCTGAGATTCCCTCTCCCTCCCCCTTGTCCCTCCTGCTCATGTTTGTGCGCTCTCTCCCAAATAAATAAAACTTTACAAAAAAAAAAAAAAAGACTGGTATACTGAAAATTACAAAATGCTGATGAAATTAAGAAGATCTAAATAAATGGAGAAACATACTGTGTTCATGGGTGGGAAAACAACACACTAAAGATGTCACTTGTCTACAAATTAATCTACAAATGTAATGGTAAAATAAAAATAACACCAAATCCTGGTGAGAATGTAGAGCAACTGGAAAATACATTGCTAGTAATAATGTAAAACAGTACAGGCACTCTGAAAAACAGTTTGGCTGTTTCTTAAAAACAAAACAAACAAAAAGCATACAACTACCAAATGACCTAGGAATTGTAATCATGAGCATCCGTCCCAGAGAAATGAAAAATGATGTTTACAAAAAATCTGTACACGAATGTTCATAGCAACTTTATTCCTAATAGCCAAAAACTGAAAGAGAAAAAACAAAAACAAAACAGCCAAAACCTGGAAACCGCTCTGGAGTCCTTCAACAGATGAGTGATTCAAGTATGGTACATCCATGCTGCAAATACTCCTCAGCAATAAGAAGGAATGAACAATTAATACACACAGCAACTTGGGAGAGTGTCCAGAGAATTTGCTGAATGAAAAAGGTCAATCCCAAAAAGTACATACTCCATGATTCCATTTATGTAACATTTTGGAAATCACAAAATATGGAAATGAAAAACAAATTAACAATTGCCAAGTTGACGAGGAGATGGCCAAGATGAAGGATCACTCAGTGACAGATCAGTTCTAGGTCCTGACTATATCGGTGGCATTATCCTGCTCGTAGCATTCTATCATAGCTTTATCATATCCATGTAGAGATATTTGTACTAAAATGTGTACCGTTGGGGGGGGGGAGTAGATAATTCATGGAATATAAAGATAAAACATGGAATTTCTTTGTATTATTTTTAAAAACTGCATGTGAAGGATTTCACTCCTATGTGGAACTTAAGAAACAAAACAAACATAGGGGAAGCAAAAAATAAGATGAAAGTTGAGAGGGATGCAAACCATAAAAGACATTGAACTCTAGGAAACAAACTGAGGGTTGCTGGAGAGGAGGTGGG